GGAAATGCACCGGCGTTGTGGGAATAATCTGAGTAGAGCGGTGATCTGTGTGGTGCTGTGTTACCACGCGCTCTGGTATAGTAAATATCGTTTTGAGTGTTGAAACTATTGTCCTGTGTGCTGCTCTGGATCGATCATACGACAATTTGACTATCATACTCTGCCCTCATGTCACTGTATATGAACCAAATTGTTTATTTTTATTATTATTCGAGCCACAGCTCGTACAGGTTGCCTTTGCCTCATTCAGTTTAGGTATTTACGCAAATAATACCGTTCTTCCTCATCCCATTTCTCTAGCCGATGGTAGGGTTCGCTTGGAGGTAGCACATCATATGTCAAACCGACAGGTTGCTCTTGCTCCCACAATGGCGATCGATAGTAGGCACACTTGCTGCACGTGCATGGCTCTCGTATATCCATATATTCGAACTGATCCGCGAGAATGTCAATTTCGCTCATCGCAATCCATAAGTTATTAACTTCGCTGAATGCGTTCTCCAAGATTTTACCTTCACTCCAAGCTCGAGCTCTCTGTTCGGTGCTTCGAACGTCTGCTAGCTGGATGTCGACTTCAATTTTGACATCAAGCATCTCTGCTTTTTTGACAAGAAATGTTTTCAGATATTGCAGTCGGTCACGTATCATTTCGGTAGTTATCTAAACGTTGTAGTAACGAAAAGGTGTTAGTACCATCATAACATATACGAATTTAAGACTGGTCTTTCGTACCTCTGAAAGCTCCATACACAGCTGCAGCCAGCGTACCATCCATACAAAGTGATGTCTGTCGTAGCCGCTGTATGGATCCTCGGAATAGTTGATGTTCATAACGTACATTTCCTTTACCGGCACATCTCAATAAAGTCATCAACGTCTTTGGTTGAGTGGAATACATCTCAAAAGCCTGCAATTAAAAAACGTTTGCATGTTAGCAGTTGTATCCATGACACCCTCAGTTTGAATGTTGACGCAGTACTCGATCTTTTGCTGGTATAAACACGGGAAGCAACGAGTCAAAGTTGAGTCTGCGGTGGCAGCTGAAATGAACAAGCGCGTCTTTTATAACGATCGGTTTGTAAATCTGCTCTCCATTGGACGCTGCAACTCCTGCAGTGAAAGGTAGCTGCAAGACGTGTATGTCAGTAAGAAAACTAGATTCGCTATTAGCACCACACTAGTTACCTCTGCCTTGTCGAGGCGCCAATCCATTCAGTGAATTCCAAGTTGCTAGTGCCAAGTAGATAGCTGTTTTGGAAATGAAAAATGCCAGAATGAGAGAACATCATCACCTGAGTCTCCTAACCGCAAGTTGCAGTTCAGAGACACTTCGTGGTGCAGTCTGCAGCAAGGAAGGAAGTTCGTATCAAGTAGCTTCTTTACGTTGCAGTTGGAACCAGCAAATACTAAGAGTAGTACAATCGTACCTGCCTAGTATTAGATATGCAGGTACACCACTGCAAGTGGTATGGATTCGAAAAAGTGTGTGTTTGGTGAGAATCTAGAAAACAAACAAACTTGGAGCTGTACTTATCGAAAGGTCGCTCAAAACAATCTAGAAGAGTATGACGTGAAAGAGCGAGCTAGTAAGTTAAAAATGAAGTTCATCTAGAATCAGCATGTAATGGCCGGTAACCCTCATCTTGAACATCTTTGCGTGGATCAAACAGACTACGTCAAGAATGTTGGCAACTGCGTGCAGTGGCAATGAACGTTTAAGCTTCAATGATGCAGCTGTCACCACTTCCACGCGCGGGGAGAGGGAGCAGAACCAAAGGCAGCGTTCACGACCGACATGTAGTAGCAGTGACAATACGGTCACTAGCAGCCGCGTCGCGATGGATTCCACGCAACAGTTGTAGCAGCTGTTGAGTCGGAGATAGCGGCGTCGTCGTCATGTCTCCCAGTTTGCTGTCGATCACCAAGCTGTCGATGGCTGTCGTCTCCGGCCCTTTGGTAGCAAGCACCTCGCTGCTGTGTCTCCTCCGATATCGTCGCCACACTCGTTTTCATCGCACTGGTAGCAGTACTCGCCTCCTCCGCATATGCACGCACCACCACTACGTGATCGTTTACCAGTAAACTAGCAAATCATCGCACAAGATTGTTGTTGCCGTAGCCGTTTCGCGTTCACATCGGTTACGGAATGCAGCGACCAGTGTAGCAACGGTATCGCTCCAAACGGGCAGCATGTATGACTGACGTTCGGCGCCCATGTAGCGTTAGCATCGTACAGCGTGCGGACCGGCGTGGCGACAGCGACTTGTCGGCGTTAGCATCTTATGTGTGGACCAGCGTGACGACAGCATGGGAATCGAGCAGCATTTCCACCAGAGATTTCGGTGGTGTCAGGCAGCGTGCAATGGTAGTGACATCGGTCAGTGTCAGGCGGTGGGTGGGTTAGCAGAGATGGGTGGGGGCAGTCGGTATGAACCCGAGTGTTCACAAGAAAGGAAATTGCGGAATGAGACTCGTTGGGGCTTGGCGCGCGCTCGACGCCCCCGCACGCGAGTTTGAATCGTTGACCCTCCAAAGCGGCTTGTTTCGCGCCAAAACATTGCGAGCTTCAATGTTGAAGTCACGTTTTCGCCGGTGTCCTCGGTTTGACCAATCAAATAGCATTCCGATGATTCTAGCAGTCTGATTGGCTAGTAAAGTGATCTTTAATATACGCGTATGGCTACCTATTTCGATTATGGGTAGTACCTTTTTTTGCTAAGAGGACCAATTACCTTGCAGTAGTTATACCCGACAGCATATGCTCCTTTGTCGGATCCGTTTTGACGTAGAAAAGCGTACCTGAGAAAATGTAAGCCAGTAGTTCTGTGGCTGTGCGCTTCAAAACCACATCCTCAAAAAAGGTAATCCTAACTTTGATCCTGGAGGTAGTAGTTAGATCTCTACCACAGCATGTCGTTCGCCAATTTGTGTAGTATTATGCTCTGGGTTTTACAATGACATCAGAAATAGTTTTTAGGCATCGTTTGCTACAATTGCTCATTATGTACTTTGGTTTAATTGCTAAATGGTTAAACTTGTTTTTATCCATTATTTCTCGTCGTCATGTGTTTTATAGCCAGGAGTTCTCGAAAACTACAAGAAGAATTGCTAATGCAAACGTTGATTTTTGAAAATTGAAGCAGCGACTGAGACTTCATTTATTTCATGAACTCAGATGCACTTAGAGGATTCTCGACAAGCTGCTTACCGTAAATCAACGACTACGTCAATGTCGACGTTGTATCCGCAATGATGTCACCCATAGCGGCAGCATTCGTAGTAGCTACAGCAGGCATCATCAGAGCTGAAACGGGGGCAGGAGCAGCGACTGGGACAGCAACTGAGAAGGAATAGCTGCAGGAAGTGATGCACGCAACAGAACCACCACGTGACCTGCCAATGCAACCCTTGTTACCACTTCTCGCAGCCGAAATCATACCCGCAACGTTGGACAGCAAAGCCGGGTTGGTCGCGATACTCTATAGAAGTCCGAAAATGTGCTCGGTCGTCATGGGACTGGTTGAGTTAGCTTCCGTACTCATAGCAATTA